ATGATAAATATGGCCATTTTTCTTTGTATAATATATATACAATTCGATTCGAAATTATTCGAACAAAATCAATATTTGCTTTGAAGTCCCTTCGAGCCTAATATTCACTGTTCGCACAAGCCTACTCACTAGTGTATGCATGTTGTTCATCACCTTTCAGTGATTGCAAGATGTATTGCTGAGCCATAGTTCAGTGTTTGAATGCTTGGCTCTCAAGTGCATGTTCCCTCACTGGCATGGGTCTCAGCCGAGACCTGGTGAAGGCTTTTTTTTTCACATGTGTACAATAATGAAGCTGCATGGGGTGGGACAATATTCTCCTACAATTAGGGAGGGAAGCCATCCTAATGTGTCTTTCATAACAACAGGAATTGCCGTTTAACCGACTGGCCAGGCCGATAGACAAATGGGATGGACATAAGGCAAACACATTCTCGTGCACTCACCTATAACCAATTTTCTTTCTCTCAATAATAAAGTTTTTTTTTCTCTTTCTCACCTTCTGACCATGCCTGTCATAAGATGTAAGCAGGGAACCTTACAGCACAAAAGTTTATATCTGTGCGCGTAAGCTAGTGCTTTGTCCTTCAACAAGCACATTCTAGTTCAGTGTGTCGCATGTACCAGATGAGTCTGCTGTGCTTTATACAAGCAGGATGGCAGTAGCTCACGCCTACAATTTGTTGGTATGAATGAGATCCAAATGAAAGGCGCCAAGTGCATGGGATGCAATTTGCTGCCATTATATTAACACTTAAAATAACGTCTTGCTTATATGAGGTGTTGCTGTAAGCACGACAGGAGTACAAGCAAACAATTAGGCAAACATGTTGTGGTTGCCGTTGTACCGCAGCCGCTGGATAAAAAAACAAGGTGCAGCCTGTTCTGTGCCGCCGAAGCGGTGGGATGGGTCAAGTTCACTTCGCACCCACTCTGGCTTCACCACTCCTCTCAGGAGAAAATCTTTCACATGCATTGATACGCGCGACAGTAGGCCGTAGACAACGCATTTTGTAGTTGCACATAACATGTTCATTTCTGAATCGTTATAAGGAGTAGCTATTACACGACATATGTGAACAGTTTGCCCGAGAAGGGCCAATCTTTCATCGAGTATAGGCCTCAATACTCTCCATGAAGGCTGCATGTTTGACTCACCTGAAATGAAATTGGTTACTGATTCCGTTCATGGGAAGGAAATCGCTGCGCAGATTTCAAAAGTTGACGAATCAGCTCACCAAAACGCACTGCAAAAGCATGCACAATTTAAATGTAGGTCCTTTTAGAGCATCAACAATGCCAGTTGCGGCCCAAAGATTGAGTTAAAACCAAGAATTTACAACACAAAGAAAATATGTATTGTCAGTAATGGCATTACACAAATTCGCACACTCGGTAACTACCAATTACAATAGACAAAATCACTTAGAAGGTATTTGAAAAAACGGGAACAAACTTACCGTGCTAGAAATGCAATTTCACACATCATAAACTGCACAAGAACACTTTTCGGCCCCAAATATTTACCACACGTGTGTACTGCATAATTCTTTAACGAAACAGTGAAACAAACTCCAGCTCTGGTCATCATCCTGGTGACACTCTTCAAAAAAGTACTCCAGCGGCGTCATAACTCGATTCTTCAACATTGACTGACTGCACTACACGACTCGCTCAAACATCAAAATTTTTTGGTCGAGTTCACTACCCGTCCCACTCTCCATCACTTCTAGTTTCGATCCTTCTCGGTTTCACGAACATTTGAAGTGATTTCAGGGCGCATAACACGCATACCACACCAACAGCGAGGGGAAAAGAGTTTCGTCTTGCCAGTTCCTCTACGGAGACAGTCACCCCCCAAAAAAGGTTCCGCTCCGATGTTTCAAATTCTCCAGATCTGTGCTGGTTGGCTGTCGCGTGCGTAGAGGGTAAGGGCATGCCCTGGGCGCATTTTGTTGATGCTTTTTCTTTTTTTGCTGCACGCGCTCGTAAAGGGAACATTTGGCAGGGTGATTTGATGCTGTCCTCTAGAGGTGATGGCGTGTGTCTGATTCAGCGCTCATTTGTGACAAAAATAAGTGCTCTCTTATGAATAATACGCATCCTGATACGCTTCTCGACTCTTTAGATCACAGGGGAATACGTTGTACCTCAAACTAGCATCTTTTGTTGTGCTCAAGCTGCTCAGCGGCACACAACAGTTTGCAGCGTCACACCACTAAAAAACTGTCTGCCACACACGTGCACAACATAGAATAGTACTAGAGCACAGGAAGCATGAGGCAAGCTACACACCACACAAGACCGCACACAAAGAAAAGTGTGAAAAACACACAAAAAAAGCACACAGACATGCACAAATCCTTTGTCAACAACATTGAAACATGAAGTGTCATCCACCTTGATCGGTGCAGTGTCAGCGCCCTATTCGAAAAAAGCGGCCGAAACTGTCAACTCTGCCAAGACGTGCTCGCCCATTAATGGTGGCACGATTAGGCTTGTGCGAATATTCGAATGCTTCGAATATTCGAACGAATAGTTAACTATTCGAATTTGCTTCAATTCGAATTTAAATTATCAAATATTTTTGAAGTATTCGCAATGAACGAATAAAGATACATTAATCTGCATGTCACCGCTTGTAAAGATGGTTTCACTGTAATGTAGAGGTGCTAAACAATGAAAACACCTACAAAAAATCACTTTGCCGTGAAGCCTTTCTTCAAATTTAAAGGGTCCTTGCAACACTTATTGAACATGGTCAGAAAACGCTGCCGATCGAGAGTCGAGGCTACCGAAAACACGCGAGGCAAATATTTTAGCGCAGCACGTGGCTTGAAATTCACAATAAATTTTCAAAGCTAAAAATTGCTTTCTTTCTTGGCAAATGACACTATAAGCTCAAAAATCACTTGTCACAGTCAAGAAGAAATATATGGCTCTGGTCACAGGCATTGGCTGATTTGAGCATGATGCGCTCGCCGTCACCGGGACCGCCGCTTGTCCACGATTAGATACGCGATCGCACTGAAAAACCGCGTATCCGAAGAAAGAAAGAAAAAAAGAGGGGCTCAAGGTCACGAGGTGCACATGGAGTATTTTCTTTCATCGTGCCATTCTTCCCTGCTTAGCTTCCAGTTATTTCGTTGGGACGAGAAGAGAGAATGCAATAGCAGCGTGTGGCAAATTTTTGGAACTCCACTCGTACTGGACTGATTCTAGAAACATTGCAGCAGTAAATTTGTGAGGCAACAAGCATGTTTACTGGCTCCATGGCTACTTAAAGAAGTGTTGCAGGGCCCCTTTAAAGAAACATGGTACTCTCAAATCAATGCTTCATTTTATTAAGCTTGTTATGACGGCTTATATGATCCAAGTATAATAAATTTTAAAACATTAAGTATCTTACAGGTTATCACTCGCATCCTACTGAAACTACTACTCAAGGTTGTTTTGACATCCTTTGAATTAAAAAATAAATGGCATTTGCATAGAGCCGCTATTTCAATTAAAAAATATTGCTCAAGTTAGTTAGGTCATGATAAATATTCCCTTTTTTTTATATGTCATACATACCATTCGAATTCTATTCGAAATTATTCGATCAAAATCACTATTGGCTTCGAACCAAAAATTCACTATTCGCACAAGCCTAGGCAAGATGCAACAGGCCGCATCATCTTTTTTATCTAGCAGTCGTGGTTATACCAATTCATAACAATTCGTTACTCTCCGTAACAGCATTATGCCAAAACAACCACCTTGAAATGAACACTGTCGAAATTTGGGCTTGTTGGTGCATTGTGACGACAGAAAATAGCGCTAAGAAACGGGGACACAAGACGAAGACACACGGCACAGGCGCTAACTTCCAACATATGTTGGAAGTTAGCGCCTGTGCCGTGTGTCCTCGTCTTGTGTCCCCGTTTCTTAGCGCTATTTTCTGTCGTCACCTTGAAATGAAACCCCTCTCTTGTTTAAAGCTGATCTCATAGCCAGACTGAAATTGGCTTGTCATCGTTGTCAATGCTTAAACATGTGTATTCACCACCTTGTGATATGGCAATGTTAGTGGCCCTGTTCAGGCTAGCTTTTGCAGATTTGCATTTTTAGGTTGCTATCAATTCTGTAAGTAGGTGTAAAGCCTAAGTTTCTGAAGGGTGCCACAAATATTCAACTGTACCACGTCTCACTTCGCCTCTTCAAAGCAAGCATAAAGTAAGCTAAACATGCGATGACATGATGAATTCGATAAGGCACGTTGCTGGGATAGTTGGTTGGGGGCCATCATTCATATGGCTGTAGCGCACCACGACAGAAACACAAAAGAGAGACGCAGACGCAGAGGTGCGGCTGCACCCTTACGTTTCAAGACACCCGTGTTCTTGATAGGGCCAGTGACAGAACTACGTATGAAATCATTCAAGCCAATGAAATTGATAAAATGAAAGAAAAATGTGTGAGTGAGGCTTCCTTAGACTTGTCAGCTAAAGAAAAGAGGTATCTAGAATCTTTGCTTTGATATTGGCAAGTGCAGATTGTCGTAATTAGTGATGACACGTGCATGAGCTGTGCTGTATCTTTACATGATGTTTTCCAGGTTTTATTGATCTACTGTTATTGTATGAATATCATGTGTGATCACAAATAAAACGTTAGTTGGAAGTTAGCGCTGTGTGTGTGTCGCGCTTTTGTGTGTTTGTTGTGGTGCGCTATAGCCATATGAATATGACATGGTGCCGAAGTTTTCGTAGTGTGTTTGGAGATAAAGTGAGCCGTTGCTCCATCTTATTGTTGAGTGGGCTTCTCTGCTGAGCATGACGGGGCTTGGCAGAGCCTGTAGTGCAGGCCAAGCAGTTAGTTGACTGTCATAACGTAGCAGTGATGAAAATGATTCGATGGCAATCATGGTCAGTGTACTGACCGATGTTTATGGATATTTCAATTTATATTACTTACTGACTGGGCTGAAATTCATGTGGTTGTCCCCCCTATCCCAGGTACCTGGAGCTTCGGCCAGCATACGAGAGCACCCAAGAGCGCCTGCGCCACTTGGAACGGGAACTTTCGGAGGCACGAGCTGAAATTGAAAAGCAAGAGCGCTGGCACAGTGAGATGTACCTCAAGATGTACAGGTGAGGCCTGCTAGTTAGACTGCCACAATTTCTATGCAGCTAGCTTCATATGGTAATGGCTTACTTTCCAAGTTTCTTGGCAGGCAAGCTTGATGTTATACACTTTTCTTGTCTGTGGTATTTGTTGAAGGTGCTTTGCAAGATTATGAAGAAATAAAAGTGCTGTTCCGCAGACCATTTTGTGTCTCAGGCATTTTGTCAATGCTTTAGAATCTATAAATACTGTTCCTACAAATCATTTGAAGCTGCTATGATGGTTTGATGCCATATTGTGCTGGCCATCTAGGTACAAGTACAAACAGGTAGTAGCTTGCATGAAGCCAGGGTTAAATGTAAAGAGCAGCATGTGAAAGGAACAGCCTGGATGATCAACAGTTCTGCAACCATCAAGCCTTTGTTTTTTCTTAGAAATCTGTGTTTTCATTGAAGCTTCATACTACTAGAGGTAAAAGTAAGCACACTTTTTATGTGGACATCATGAAGCAGACAGCAGTGATCTAATTAAAAAAAAAGTCTCCTGTTCACAGTACTACTGTAGGCTCCCTTAAGATGAACTCCAAGGGACCTCGATCACTTAATTGTCTCATCAGGAGTTTGTATCATCAGAAGTACCCCCAAAAACGAAATGCTAATATGCCAAGTACATCTAAATATGTTGCTTGAAAACACGGAATGAAGTGTACGTGCAATGGGGAGGAAAGAAGCAAGGAAAAGCATTTATTTGGCTCAGCTTGATAAAAACTATGCTCCCAAGTAGAGTATCTATATTAATATAGTGAGTACTCGATTTCGCAATTTAACAATAAATATGCTCATGAATAAATTGCTACAACATTTTAACAATAAAAATGTAGCACGACCCTGTAGCATGGTACCACCTAAAGGCTAGGGCTGAGGAAGATACCAGCTTTATGCGCTGACCTTTCTTTTCCACTCAACTTGCTTTCTTTATCCACGTCACCATTAACTTTCGATATGCTTTGAGTTTTCGTGCCAGAAGTCCTCTCTCTCTTTTTATTTATTTTGCTCTCTCAGTTCCCCATCAAGACTATAATGTTCGTTGCACAGAACCTTCGTCGTTGTTGGTCGCTGTGAGAGTTCGTCTTAACATAAGAATTGTGTTACGTGGTTCGTCTTAAGCAGACGTTTTTTGCATTGAGTCTATGAGAAACCAAACAAACACTCCCGCGTTGTTCGTGTTAAGCCAGAATTTGTCTTAATAGAGTTCGTCTGAACTCTTTCGTTACCACGCGTAAACAGTTATTTTTCAAGTGCCTCAGGCAGAATGTTTTTGCCAGCTCATAACGTACTCCAGCACGCATTTCAGTGTACCAGATCGTGCACAGTGAAATGCTCTTTCCAAAAAATATACATTGTAGAGCAACAAAAATGTTTTTAATGAATAAAAAGCTGAAAGATTGTGTGTTTATGTTTGCCAGCTGGTAAAAACTGCAATAAAGAACACTATATCTTCAAAAATATTCACAAGAAAGTAAATTCGGAATATACATTTTCAAGATAAATGACCCAGGAATAGTATAAAAAATAATAAATGTTATATAGGATGTCTCTATTCTCATAGACGAAGAAAATCAAAAGTGAGATGCTGCTTCATTGCTTGTGCAATGTGGTGAAGCAGTGCTTGGCTTTCTTTTTTGTGAGACACAAGTGAACTCGTACCCTCTTCTCAGTGATTCTTAGTTTTTTTGTGTGTGATAAGAGCCTGCAGGTGTTTCATTACAGATAGATGCCCGTGATGTGAATAATCCCTCTATAAACCAGATGCCCAATGAACTCCCTTATTTCGTCTTCTTTTCATGAGGTGCCTCATCCGCATAAGTTGGCTTTCCAGTATACAGTCGAAACCCGCAATAACGAAACCCCGCGAGTATGAAATCCCCACAGCAACGAAATATTTCCGGATCCCCGGCGAACGTTCATAGAAGCCCATGTATTACGTATCTCACGGCAACAAAATATTTTTGGACAGCGATCCCGCAGTAACGAATTTTGTACCACGGTGCAGGCCTTATTTTACCCTCCCGCCAAAAGTTAACTGTCGAAAATATGCTCGTATGCGTGTTATGCGCACGCAAAATTTGTAAACGTCTGCTTTTGCTGTGCTAGCGTGGGTACTGCCATTTTTCTTTACTTAAGGGGGGACGCGGCTTTGGGATCGCGAGAAAGAGCAGAAAAATCGATTTTTTGAAAATCAAGCTTTCAGTTTCTGGAACCATTTTTTTATCCGATTCCAAAATATCTACACTGAAAACCGCACAGAAGTGCTTCGGAAAATTAATTTCACCCACCTGGGTAGCGAAACTTTTTCTGGAAATCGCGAGAAAACAGCAATTTTCAAAAAATTATGGCTTTGCGATGGCGGGGCCGGAAGCCGGCTTCTTGGGCTCATCGGAAAGAGCATTTCTTCGTGTTTAACTTTCCTGCCTCAGCTGGCTCCTCCCTTTGAAAGCAAGCGCACAAAAAGCTAATGTTTGAAGGTCGTTTCGAGGCCCTTGATTGGCTGTGGCCGCCATGTTGCCTCAGCTCGGCTCGCCATTTGCCCGATGCTCGCACCGGGCGATCGTCGTCTGCTGCTTGTGCGTGGGGAGAACATGGCTCTTGAAAATTGCTACTTCGTGACGTGTTCACGGCTCGATGATCACTTAAGATATAGTTTAGTTGGAGCAGTAGGCAGATGCGCAATCAGGTTACTACAAGCGCGGCGCGTCATCGGCCTCACTCCGCCGACAGCGAGACTGCGGGCAGGAACGACGCGCTAGCATACTCGTGGCGACGTGCTTCGTCGCAAGCAACGAAGCTGTAAGTGGCGGCACGGTCAGATTACTATGAGTGGCCGCACCGGATGCACGATCAGATTACTACGAGCGGGCACACGGTCTACGAGCGCGGCGCGTCATCAGAGTCGGCTTTAGCCCTAACTCCGCTGACAGCGAGACTGCGAGCAGGAACGACGCACTAGCGCATCCAAAACAACCCACGGATTGTTTTGGATGCGCTGGACACTCTTCGCTCCTTGTTTGGCGCCCATGATGACGACTTAGCAATGGACCACTTTTTCCAGTGCGAAGGGAGAGCTTTGAAGTTGTTGCATAGCAAGGGTCGGCAAAGTAAGTTGACCGACTTCTGGCAATAAATTTTCGTTCCGCTGGCCGTATCACTGTTTTTATGTCTCATACTCGCGACAATGAAATTCTCGCGAAAATGAAATTTTTCGGTTTCCTCGGCGATTTCGTAATTGCTGGTTTTGACTGTATGTATCCAAGCATATTTATTTGCATTTTTGAACATCGTATTAAAAAAGAACAACATTCCACGCAGTCCTAAAATGTTTCACACTGCTACGTATAGTGAAGGCAAGATGTGCTCCGGGGACCTTCTTGTGACGAAAAGCTCTGCTGCCGGCGCCAGCACATTGTGCCGCAGCGACGTGTGGACCTCACACGTAACCAGACTAGCTGTAAGGTTGCGCACAAAGGTGAGCAGCTATGCACTTGTGGCGGAGGAGGCAGCTTGAGGCCATAAACATAGCAAGCCCATGAACGGCGGTGGATGTCTCAGGCTGTCGCAAAACATCGTCGCCATAACGCTTGAAGCTGAGGTGCTGTCAACTACGGACTCTAAGCTCGTCCTCACTCAATTCAGATGTGGTTTCTAGATAATTTTGGGCGATGGACGTTTTTTGCCGTGGAGATGCACACCCATGTGGGAGGGACGCCGCCGCCATAGTGGCTCTAGATGCGGCCCTGTGTTTGATATAATGATACAAGCGAAACCAAACCTGCTGGAAACTGGCTGAGAAGGCCACCTCCACACTTTACTCATGTGGCAGACCTTCGAAATGATTTTTCGTAGGATAAATTTTCTCCGACTCCTAGGAACAGCTCTCTATTGAATAGCTGGCATACATTTCTGGCAATTATTACTGCTCAACCCTGTGATATTACGAAGCTGACGCCTTGAATTGATACTTGACTTGCAAAGGTTCTTATGATTTCAAAACTTTGATGTTACTGTAGCATAACCATGAGGGGTAAACACTTTTGTCAAGTTTGCCCCCCAAGTGCATTTTCCCAATAACACATGCACATTTGTTCGCGCAAAGGTCTGTCAAAAATTACTATTTGGCCAAACGGGCCAATTCAAACCAGTTTTGAAAGTTGAGTGGGTGGACTAACTATGAAAAGGTGCTGGGTTCACGAGAAAAAAATTCCAACTTGCAAAAATTGACGATTCAAAGCATCGATCTCCAGTGATCAATTTGAATAAGCATGGTAACGAAAGAATTAGAGGGAGCTCACTGTATGTTTGTCTTCGTCGTGTGAATACTATAGCGCATGCGCTTACAGAAACACAGAGGTGGACTAACATTAGAATTTCAAAATTGAATAGTATAATTCAGTGAATTTCTCTATTCATAGTATTTATTCAGGCTTATGAATAATCCTAAATGAACGAACAGTGGAAGTTTACAACATGTAATCCACCTGAAAAGATATCATTGCGGTCTCAGATCACTGTGCCATGAAACTGTTCAACCCCCCAAAAAATTCACATTGTTGTGAAGCCACTCTGTAAAGTTAAGTGTGCATATTATTATTATTATTATTATTATTATTATTATTATTATTATTATTATTATTATTATTATTATTATTATTATTATTATTATTATTATTAAAGTTAGAAAGCACCTGGAAAAATTTACTAATGTATTGTGCTGCTTGTAATTAGCACCCTGCTGCTTTTATAATTGGCTTAGAAATTATTGGATGCTAATTGATTGGTTGAGTGGCTTATGGGGTTTGGCATCCCAGAGTGACTCGGACTAAGAGAGACATCATAGCAGAGGGTTCTGGATAGTTTGTCCTCTTTTGGTGCCCTAATGTGCATTGAAATCACACAGTGTATGGGTCTTTTGCAACTTTTGCAACACAGTGTATTGGCAAAATGCAACTTCCATGGTTGGGATAGAACCCACA